CCCTGCCCAGCTACACACACTTCAAAATTGCAGGAGGTGAGACCTAGACCCGGTTGTCCCCACTCCTGTCAAGCCCCTCTAGGCTGGGGGGGGGGGGGCGGGGAGGCAGGGGTGCAGCCTCAGGTACCCTGGCCTGGTGCCAGGCAGGGGTTGCAGTCTGAGGTTCCCCACCCTGGCCAGGCACCATGCAGCCTCAGGTCCGTGCTGTTCAGTTGTTATGTGACGATGTTTTGACCAATTTGCATATTATCATATCATTAGATACATAATAAAAGGCTAATATGCAAATAGACCACATGGAAAAATGACTGGTTGCTATGATGCACACTGCCCACCAGGGGGCAGATGCTCAGTGCAGGAGCTGTACCCTAGTGGTCAGTGCACTCCACCAGGGGGAGTGCTGCTCAGCCAGAAGCCAGGCTCACAGCAGTGGTAGCAGGAGCCTCTCCTGCCTCAGGCAGTGCTAAGGAGTAGCGAGCAGATGGGCAGTAAAAAGCAAGGGATCCTGGACTGCAAGAGGGCACAGGCCAGTTTGAGGGACCTCTCCCTCCACCACTGCACAAATTTAGTGCACTGTGCCTCTAGTTATCATATAAGTATCATTTTCTCCATCTTTTTTGTCCTTGATATCTGCTGAGATTTGTTTTGTGTTTGAAAATCTAATCTGGTCCCTGATTTTTATTCTTACATTTGCAATGAATCCCTTTCTCTTGCCTTCACTTTCACTTGTTCTTTCTTTTGTTTGCTATTATACATTTGTATTGCTTCACTGGTAAATATCAGAATAACCAACTGGCAGTGGCATAAACTACAAGGATTATTTTTGGATTATTTAACAAGAAGTCCAGAGGTTGGTGGTCCCAGAGTTGATTTGGTGGCTCCAATAGAAAATCATGAATTTATCTTCTTGTGTTCTGTCATTCTTTGTGAGCAATCTTTTGTCAGCTAGTTACAGGATGACCAAATATTGAATAGCTATAAGAATGCAGAGGGTTTCCCTAGCTTGTCTGGCTCAGTGGTTGCAGGCTCCTTCCCAACTACGGCTCTGGTTGGGGTTTATGTATGAGGCAACAAATTGATGTGTTTCTCTCACATCAATGTTTCTCTCTGCCTTTCCCTAAAAATCAATGAAAAAAATCATCTGCTGCTGATAAAACAAACAAAAAAAAATAAAATCAGGAAATCACGAGGCTGAGGCACAAAGACCTTTCTCCTCCTTGAGTTGTCACCCTAAATATATTTCTCAGAAATCTTCTTTTTATATCTTATTGGCCAGAAATAGGCCTTATGCCCACCCCTATACTATAAAGGGGAGAGGGGGGCTGCCATGACTGGTCTAGACTAGTGGTCGGTAAACTGATGCTTGTGAGCCACATGTGGGTCTTTGGCCCCTTGAGCATGGCTCTCGCACAAAATACCACGGACTGGGTGAGTCTATTTTGAAGAAGTGGCATTTAAAGAAGTTTAAGTTTAAGGTTGTTCTGAAAAACAGTTGTGTTGGGAAAGTTCTATATAAGCAAGAGTCTTCATTGTCTTAGTAAATATACCCAATGAGGTAAATATTAGAGTAAGATTGTGAACTATAAGTAACTGGCTTTACTGGTGCTCTCAACCCTTTTTTTGTTGGTTAATGTAGCACTATTTGAAAACTTATATGTTTTCCATTCCAGCTGAGGACAGCAGCAGAGCCTAAATGAGGTATTAGAATAAGCACTGAATATCATGAAAGCTCATAAAAAAGGTCTGACTAGAAAGGAGAGCTCATTAATGAGAAGTTGGCAATATTAGTAAATATTTTCCCACTGAGACTTACAATTTTAAAATAAAGTGTTTTTTTGGAGAGTAAGGGCGTACTGTGTGTATTGAACCAAAGACCAAATCATGCTAATCTTTTCTTCAAAATTTGTCTTTACCTTTTTTCTTTCCATTTACTCCCCTATTCAAGTCTCAATCTCCTGAAACCTTTATCATTGTGACAGACTTCTATGTGTTTCCCTATTTGCCTCCCTCTTGCTTCTATTTGTCTCCTCTGCTGTGATATTCTTCCATGTTCTAAATTTTATCCTATTACATACAATATAAACATTACTCCTGAGATTCAGTGTCTGATCTGCAGCCGCTCTCTTTCTCTCTGGGCCTCTGTGGGGGCAGGCAGACAGAGGCTGTTAGGGGTGATCAGGCAGGCAGGCAGGCAGGCAGGAAAGTCAGCAGTTAAGAGCCAGTGGTCCCAGATTGTGAGAGGGATGTCCGACTGCCAATTTAGGCTCCATCCCTGTCTCCTAAACCAGTGGTCAGACATCCCCCAAGGGGTCCCAAATTGGAGAGGATGTAGGTTGGGCTGAGGGAACTCCACCCTCCATGCATAAATTTCATGCATTGGGCCACTAATATGCATATAAATTCTTTGGTTAATCTCTCTCCACCCACCCCACACACTTGCCTTCCCTCTAATATTCTTCAGTCTATTCTAAGGTTCCATGTCTCTGACTCTATTTTGTCATCAGTTTATTTTGTTCATTAGAGTCCACATGTGGGTGATATCATGTGACACTTGTCTTTTTTTGACTGGCTAGAGCCAGTTAAGTCCTTCCTTTCTATCTAAACCAAATGCTAACTTTTCCTTAACACGAGCTCTCCTTTCTCATCAGACCTCTTCTATGGGCTTCCATGATATTCAATGCTCATTCCAATACCTCATTTAGACTCTGCCGCTGCCCTCAGCTAGAATGTGCCTGTACACCTTTTCAAACATTAACCACCAAGTGGCAAAGAGGGGGTTGAGTGCACCAGTAAAGCCAGTCACTTAAGAGTTCACAATCCTACTCTAAATTGTCCCCACATTGCTGATGGACTGAAACGAATCCATTTATGCTTGGTTAAGTTATAAATTTTCCCCATATACAGGCTTTGCCACAAATGCTAAGGTTATTGTATAAATGTAGGAAATAACCTAGTGCTATATATTTGTACTGAAAGCTCATTAAAAACTTAATGATTGATTGATTTTTAAATAATTTAAACCATGTACACTGTTTTTACTTGGTCTTCCTCCATCTCAAGTGTCCTTTTTATTGCATTATCTGCTAAGTAAGGGTAGGGTCAGGGTAAATTATGAGTCGCAGTGTGAAAGGATAGGATAAGTTAGCTGTTTATTTACCCTCTTCCTGTGGATTGCACAATGCTGATCACTTGGTTGTGATAGAAACTGAAGTTTGAGGGAGGCCATGCCAAGTATCAGAAAAATAACGAGTTGGCTATACAATCCCTAATCCTACCAACTCTATCCTTTGTCCATAAAGACACTAGAGTATATTTTGTTATCTTGATTTCAGACTTTGAGGAAAATAAATTCAGAAGCTTAAGGTTTACCAGTTAGCACAATTATAATGAAGGCGGGAGCTCTGATAAATGTTTGAGAGGGGGGAAAAAAAGTAATGTCTGTTGTTTTCCAAGGTATGTTTAACTATGGACCTGTGAAGAAGAAAAAATTCCTCTGTAATTAGGACAGCAACATTTCTAAAGCATTTCCAAAGCTTAAGTGAGGTTGAATCTTAAATGTAAGAATCTTTTGGTGAATTAAGAGAGGAAGAAATTTATTAAAGAGAGCATCTAATGTGTGATGATGATGATGAAGATAATTACGACTGTGATGCTTAAAAAAAATAGAATGACTTAAATTTCATGAGTCATTCTGGTCATCAACAGCCATCATCAGTAAAAAACAACTTCATGTGTGGTTTTACAGATAAGCTCCATACAACCAGACATTACATTTTTAATAACTTCTAAATAATATGCTAGTCTAATATACAGGTGGCCACATAAATGAGTAATCATTATCTTTTTTTTGTGTGTGTGTACGTCTTAGATTTAACTATCTTAGTAATGGCAGGAACTTTGGGTTTTTACAGACTTCTGAATAGCAGAATTCAGTGTTCATTAACAGAAAGTCAATGGAAATTAGCCAGCCCTGAATTTTCACTTTTATCCCATTTCACAGAACTTGAGTGTAAGACAGGAAGAAAGTGAATTGATTTTCCACTTGAGAATTCTGTTAACCTGAAAGAAAATGTTAAGTCTACCAGATGAGATCATTTGGGGAGGGGGAAGGCAGCTATCACTCCTTCCCCCAATATCTTCCTTCATGTACTCCACTGACCTCTGCTCTGTTTTTTCCTTTGCTTCTGTGTTCTTGTCTCCCAGTTCCTCCACACACTAAAAACCCGAGTCTGATTTTTTTGTGTGATCTTTATTTATTTTTAAAAATAACTCTTTATTGTTGAGAGTATTGCATATGTCCCTCTTTTTCCCCCATTGGCACCCTACAGCCCTGTTCCCCCCAGGCCTTCAGCACCCTATTGTCTGTGTCTTTGGGTTATGCATGCATGCATACAAGGTGTTTGGTTGATTACTCCCATCCAATCACCCTCCCCTGCCTTCCCTCTGAGATTCCACACTCTGTTCCATGCTTCCATGTCTCTGAGCATAATGATATATTTAAAGTTAAAATGGGGGAAAGTTTTGGGTCCAGAAACAAAAATTAAAAAAAATTCAAACCACTGGCCTCTAATGTGTGCACAGACTGCCCTTAGAAAATAAAAACAAACAAGACAAACAAAAATTAAACAACGAAATAGAACGAGTGTGCTCTGCTCCTGAGGGGTTTCCCTATGTGTTTATCTCCAGGCTGGCTTTGTGTTTCAGTAGGTCATGAAGCTATTAAGAGCAACAATTGAAATGACACTGACCCTTAGGTCCACAAAAATATAGTTTAAAACGTATGAGTGAAGGACTTAAAAAATACGGCTTTATCTAAATTTATTCCTTATGCCATTGGAGGTAGCATTAGGATCAGTAGGAAGGATGCGATGGGAATGAGAAAACAGGAACATTCCTTGCCCCCGCCCCCTCCCCCCTTTTTTTTTCTCCTACCGAGTAGAAACAGATCCAGTCCAGGTTTTCCATCCGACTCCGTCTGTGAATTTCGGCTGTGCACTAAGTAGCACGTTTCTCCCTCTCCCCTCCTTTCTCCTTCCCTCCAGCCTCCAGGATTCCTCTCTTCCTATTTCAGGGGGGACTCTCTCACAGGCTCCCTCCGCCTGTGCGAACCCGAGGTTTCCTCCGGAGCCCGTGCATCCCCAACACATACCTCCACGCAGCCCCGTCCCCCAGAGCCCCGCGCTCCCACACACACACCCGCGCCCGCCCGTCCGCCTCCCTCCTCCCCGGGGAGCCGGCGCGTCCCCACCTCCGCCGCTCACTTGGGCGAGTGGAGCTCGCCGGCCGCGCTCCAGGATCCTGCGGCTCGGAACTCGGATCGCGGCTCTGCACACCCTCATGGTGGTGGATCCTGAAACATTGCCTCCTCTCCCTCGTTTCGATCGCACCCCTTTCGATCTGGGGGGCTAGAGAGGAGCCAAGGCGGCTGCTTTCCCCAAGCCAGCCCCGTTTGGCTCGCCCTCTCCATCTGGCTTAGAAAAGTTTGCTGAGCGCGGTCCAGAGGTTCTGCGCGGCTCGTCCCCCCTCGGCCGGCGGAAGGGAGTGACGCCGGGCAGCGGTGGAGAGGAGCGCGCCGCTGAGCTCTGGCGGGCTTTCGGCTCGAGGGGCAAGGTGAAGAGCGCACGGGCCGTGGGGTTTTCCCGAGCTGGCTTTGCATGGTGCACCATGCCTTCTTGGATCGGGGCTGTGATTCTTCCCCTCTCCGGGCTGCTGCTGTCCCTCCCGGCCGGGGCGGATGTGAAGGCGCGGAGCTGCGGCGAGGTCCGCCAGGCGTACGGCGCCAAGGGATTCAGCCTGGCGGACATCCCCTACCAGGAGATCGCAGGTAAGCCCGGGAGAGGGCGGCCGCACATCCACCCCGCGGGCCGCCCGGCGCTCCCCGCCTTCCCCCTGTTGCTGAGTTGTTGGTGTTCACTTTCTGCCGGGCTCTCCGGGCGGCGGATGCTCTCCCGGCAGCTCCCGCGGGGGAAGGTGTGCGCCTCCGCCGCCTCCTCATTGTGTGCACACGCGGGAGCGCCCTCCTACCACCCTCCCTCCTCCTCCCTCCCTGCGCTCCCGCGCCCCGGCGCCCCCTCGCTGGTCGGCTCCCGCCGGGGAGCGCGGGGCAATCGGGGGGCGGCCGCGGCGCGAGGGCAGATCGCCGAGCGGGATGCCCGCCCCGCGCCTGCCTCTCGCGCGGGCAAACTTGGAGAAACTGCGGCCGCAGTTCGCCCAGCGCCACCGTCTGAGCGGCGCCGTCCCCGCTCCTCCCGCCCTCCCGCCGGCGGGGGCGGCGGGGAGGCGCGGAGGGCTCCCTGCGCCCCTCGCTCTCCGCTCCGCTCGCCGCGGTGCCGGGGCTCGGGGCGGGCGAGTTTGGGGGGAGGGGGGGAACCCCGCATGGGGGACTCGGCCTCCCGACTCCTCCCGCAGTTCTGAGATGGTTTGGGGGAGTTCGCGGGCTGCCTGTTTCGGATTTGGGGCGACTTTCCCCGAACGGTGGCTCAGAGCTGCCCGGGCTGCAGTTGGTCACTTGAGGTTGGGGGAAGGGGAAGGGGGAGAGGAGGGAGACCCCAGCCACCGGGCGCAGCAGCGATGGGTCCTGAGCGCGGCCTCGGACGCCGGCTCCTGGAAGCTGAGCCAACTTCAGTGGGTGGTTCAGCAGTGGATTCATCTCGGGGGTGAATTCATCCCGATCCTGTGTCCCCTGAGTGCCTGGCTCCGAGCGTTATTCCGCCGGGAGCCGGAGAGCCCCCGCCCGCGTTCTGGGCGCCGGAGTGCGGGCAGCATTGGGTCTGCAAGAACTCGCCCCGCAGCCCGGGTGCCTGTGCTCCGGCTCTTACCTCCAACCGAACCCGAGCTTCTCCGGGGCTCTGTGTGAATGAACGGGTCCGGGAGGGAGCGCGGCTCTGGCGGCTGCGGGAGAACTGAGCGGAGAGCCGCAGAGTTGGGGCCCGGAGATGCTGCGGGGACGCGGGCTGCTCCCACCAGCTGCCCAAGTCCCCGGTGACCCCCGATGGCCACGTCCAAACACAGAATTCCCGCCAGCCTGTCTGCGTTTTGTCCAAGGACTTGGTCCATGGATGAAAAGCATGTTGCAGATAATCCCATACCATGTTCGCTCTATAAGTGGAATCGCTCTTTGATGGTGGCTTTGATCTACACACTCTACACGTGAGAGTTTTTTACTGATGCGGAAAGAAACACATTTAGAGGAATGTAGGCATTAAAAAAAAATAGCCCCTACTTCATGCTCACGGGGAGTATTCTATAAGACAGAGAGCCTTTTCCAATTCTGAGCCAGACGCCGCCAGCCTCTGGTGGAGTGGAAGGCGGAACCTGCGGTGAATTCTAAGACTTCTTTTCTATCCCTGTCACTTCTCCCTTTCCCAGAACTCCTTAATTTGTTAATCAGTGAATGGAGGCCGGCGGCCCCTACAGCTCCTTAAGTTTCTCCACTCTCCTTTCCCTTTTGTCCACTGTTATTTCATTCTTTTTAATTAATTGATAAGGATCAGCTTTGTGTCTCTCCCCCCCCCCAAAAAAAAAAAAATCTCTCAGGGAATTCAACTTTTAAAAGGTTTGTAGTATGGGGTGACTTCTTTTAGAAACTTATTCTCTAATCTGGGCTCTTTTAAAAACACGTATATTTCCCCAACATGATTTCAGACAAGCTCTCTCAAAGAGGAAAACGATGAGGTACTTTTAAACTGCTTTCAATAGATGATGGGGCTTTCTGAAGAACAGTTCATGATGCAAATCTCCTGAATATCAAGGTGAAGGTGAAGGTGTTTAGTGAAAATGATTTCTTTGTGTAGTCATTATTTACTTTCCTGAGAACATTTGCAGGGGTTAAATAAATCCTTCAGTATATTTTTAACTACAGTTCCCACCCCCCTCTTTCCCCTCATCCCTTGACAATTACAGTGCTTGCTAATAGCTCTGAATTTCTAAAATGAGTGTACTTTCTAGGACTAAGAGTACTACTTACTTGAAATTATCAAGGTACAGGTCACCGTGGAACAAGTGAATTATAAGATAATTGTATACTAAGGATATACTTTTTCCCCCCAAAACAAACTTTTCTGGTACTACCTATTGCTGTTGAATTTATCACTTAGGAAATATGTCAGTTTATTAAACGAACACTCTTCCTCTCCTCCTCAGTTCCTCATACAATTTACATTTCATTATCTGGTGGTTATCCTTTCTTTGAACTCCTTTCCATCCTATGCCTTGTTTGGACTTTTAATATTTTGCTTGAGAAAGAGCATATGCCATTTGTTTGCTTGGGAACATGCATTTAAAGGAACCGCTGTTCAGAATTTAGATTCATGAGATCTGTTTCTAATTGAAAGCCATTTGCAGGTAGCTTGCCTGGCTAAAAAAAAAAAGAGAAGTAATGAAGACATTATGTTTCATCACAACATTATTAAAGATTTACTCAGAACTCACAATTGTGAAATAATGTTGCCCTTTTCTATTCTAAGATAAAAGGGAGTTCTTCAAACTCAACAGATGAGGGAACTATGATGGGTAATATATAAAGTTACACTCTCAGAGAGTGCTTGGGTGGGAGGAGGCTGTCAAGGGGCAGTTTGTACCATTAATCTTCACTCAGCCTTGATTTTAAAGCATCCCAGGCAGGTCAGATGGACTATCTGTCCTTGTTTGAAAGACCTCCAAAGGGGCAGACTCTTAAGCCCCTCTCAGCAATCCATTCTAATACCTAGTCATCCTTATGGTACCAAAATGTTTCCAGATATCAAGCCAAAAGCCTTCACAGCATGCTTGCTTATTTTCTCTTGTTCTGTCTTCTAGGAAGATATTGAGCAAGGGATCAGCAAGTTTTTTGTAGGGGCTGTTATTCTGATCAAAGGTCAGTGTGAAACATCCCCGTCTTTCCTTTGAGCACCAGTAATATCATCTCATTTTCCAACCTGACTCATCTTGCTGGCTCTGAACTACTAAAGGAACTCCACAGCTGAAAAGAGCATCCGCTTAAAAGTCTGGGCGATTCAGGAAATGTTGTTTGAGGCTTACTGCGCCACTCTTTTATGCTTTGAGCATTCTTGGAGTTATTTATTGCAATACTGTGTAGCTGACTTAATGGTACTACTAGCCTACATGCTCACTTTTTTTCATTAATTATCAGATGCAACTTTATTTAGCAATCCCATATATAAAAATTTCTGTGTGCCCAGAACCTATTTGAAAACATTACCAACTTTTAAACATTAAACAAATGTTGCCTTCCCTGCTCCTTCTAATAGCTTATTATTATTATCATTATTCCCATTTTCTGGATGAAAAAAACAGCAACAGAGAGACTTTAAATTATTAATTTGCCCAAGGATGAGAAAGCTGGGAGGCTAGAATTCAAATCCAGACACTTAACCATGGCCAATACATTTTTGTATTTGTTGAATGAATGCATTGTAAAATCATTTTTTTTCTCACCTAATATTGTATAAAGCTTGGTATTATCAATCACCATATATATTCTTTCACAGTTCATGATGAATATGTTTTTATTTATTTGCAAAATCTACAATTTTCAAAATCACATTGACTTTGGATTTTCTGTTCTCAGGAATTGGCCACACTGCCACCACTGAATTGTCCCTGTATTTGTGCATATTCCCTGTCATTTTGGTTGTATAGATGTGGCTATATAAAAGGTAGAGTCTAAAGAACTTCTGTTTTGTTTTTGTTTCCAGTATACCAGATTCATTGGAATATTGGGTTAGTCCCACAAACCTTGCAATAGGAAGCTATTATGTGGATTGAGGGAGAAGGAAAATTTCTTCAAATGAGGAAAAAAAATAATAATATGTAACTAACAGTATTAGTTCTCAGTATTAACTTTGCCCCTTTTTCTGTCTCTGGTATTTTGAGAGTTGGACTACAGCTGGATATTTAAAAAAGTATAAAACAGAAACAGACTCAGCTACAGAGAATAGACTGATGGCTGCCAGAGGGGAGGGAGGTTGCGGGGCTGGGAGGAAAAGGTGAGAGGGTTGAGAAATACAAATTGGCAGGTACACAATACTCATGGGGATCTAAAGTACAGCATCTTGAATATAGTCAATAATATTGTAATAACTGTGTATGGTGCCAGATGGGTACTGGGAATACTGGGGAGACCACTTTGTAAAGCATATGATTGTCTAACAACTATTCTATACACCTGAAACGGAAACAAAATAATATTGAATGTAAACTGTAATTTAAAAAAAAAAGTTAAAAAAGAAAGTATTAAACTTTCCCTCATCTCTTTGATAGTAATTTATCTAAAACAAACAAACAAACAAAAAACTAAAATCTATCCCAAAGTCTAAAATTAAAAAAAAAAAAAAAGATAGAACATTCTCTTACACTCTGCTAGTTGAGTGAAAACTTTTTGTTTCAAATTTGAGAATATACCGTGGTTGAAGCAGGTTGGTCTGCGGACTGAAAGGTCCCAGGTTCGATTTCGGTAAAGGGCCTGTACATTGGTTGTGGGCACATCCTCAGTAGGGGCTGTGCAGGAGGCAGCTGGTCGATGTTTCTCACTCATCAATGTTTCTAGCTTTCTATCCCTCTCCCTTACTCTCTGTAAAAAATCAATAAAATATATTTTTTTAAAAATTTTGAGACTATGTAATTCTTTCCTTTACCTGGCCTTGGTTTGGTAGTCCTTCTCTTTCATAGGTGGGCTTCCCAAGGAACCTGTGCTCCCGCCCTCTGCTCCCCTAGCAAACCAACTTAATGTTTGCCATCAGCACCAATATTTTTTCAGTTTACATGAAAATATCACCTTAACAAAAATGGAAAAACAGTGTTTGGTAACTCTTTTACAGACATGTT